ATCATAAAAAACATATCTTTAACATCCAAAGCAGCCATCCAAGGATGGGCAGCGCCTTGTATTAATGTTACTATTTCTGCTATGTTTGGGACTGCAGCAGTTAAAGGTGCGGTGTTAGCATTTAACTGTCTGTAGTCCACGGTAAAGCGCCACCGCCCAGTTGATTTCTTTACTGGCCACACTGGGGAATTATAAGGTGAATGGGTCCTTTTAATAATGCCTCTTCCTTCCAATTCTGTTACCACCCCGTCAATCCCCATAAGTGCTGCTGCTGGCAACGGATATTGCCGAACATTAGTAATTTTAGAGGGAGGTAAGGGTATAGATGTTTGTAGCAGGCTCAATTTTACTGTGTCCGAATCCCTTTGATATGTCGCGAAACTCCACACTGTTCCATCAGGGAGTTTCCACATACAACCATGCAGTATGTCAAATCCTAAAATATTAGTATATGCAGCACCAACTAATACTTCTACCCTGGTTAATTTTTGTTCCTCTGGCAACCAGAGTGAAATTTTTTGCAGTGGGGCATTGTTTTTCCACACCATTGATTCCCGTGAATTTAACCCTGCGTTGACCAGGTGTTATGCTCAGGGTTTGTGCTGTTGCATGTGTAATTACTGACATTTGGGTCCTGGTTTCAATAAGAAAATTTACCAATATTTTTTGGGGTCCAACAGGAATGGCAATGATAGGGTCAATATGTTCATTAGAGAGCCATTGAATTGCTAATAGCCGCCGAGCAGGGTGGCTCACTGCCCTCCCCGGGGATAGGAGTTTTTTTGCTGGGATTCTGTTTTGTCACTTAAGCTTGGTGCTGAAGGTGTACATTCTTTACGGACGGGATTTTTTCCTGTTAAGCAATCCCCTCCATCTGGAACATTTTTCTTACCCAGAGATTGGACTAATGTACGGAGGTCATCTAGAGAAGCACCACGCAAGAGTGGTCGGGATGCACCCAAAGCTAGGACCTTACGCCAGAGCTCATCCCGTTCTTTATTAAATTTGAACCTGTTTTTAAAATTAGGGTATCTGGGATTTTTAGTGTGGATTTGGCGGACTCGCCGAGAGTGGTCTTGGGATTTAATACTGGATGAATTAATCCAGCCCATTTGGTGTCCGTACTTATCTAGGTCTTGGACAAATTCACTCCATGTGGGAATAGGAAAGTTTGGATTCCATCTACGACCACGATCACCATCCCTATGAGCAGCTTGTATACGATCCTGGGTGTTTGCTACAAACATTTTAAGACAATCAGGGAGCCCACGGATAAGAGGGGTTAACCGAACCGGATCAATAGGAGCTAACATCGGGGATTTCCTAAATTCATCTCTTTCATATATCGCCTGAATACAGGCTGCTTTTTGTACTGCTACAGCCAGGTCAGAATAGCCTGTAGCTCTAATTTCCAGAGGTTCCCCTCTCTCTTGGGGATCTATACCACCTGCCCTAAATGCTGCCCGTGCAGTGATAGAATAACTATGGTCTCCTGGTGTGGTAGTTAAAAATACTCCAGGTCTCCAAAAGCCTCCTACCTCTTCCTCACTCAACATAATTCGATCTCCTCCTTCAAGAGAAACTCGACACACATACTCAACTTCTGATTCCCCTGACCGCCTTGAGAACTTCTCCTGTATTTTAACCAACTCTGCTGGTGGCAACGGAATTGTTTGCACAGTAGTGCGGATTTCATCATTATCATCAACAGTAGTCTCAGTCTTAACCAAAGGTCTCAAGGAAATGGATTGGGGTTCAGAATCAGAAATCTCTTCAACACCATCATCACTGTCAGACCAGAAATCACTGTCCCAGCTTTCAGGTTCTGCATTATGCAGCACTCCACGAATCTGCTTGACCGGAGCACAAGGCTGTACTTTATTTAACAGATGACTAACCCTCTCCAGTAATTGTTTAAGATGATTATTCTCATGCACAAGTTTATCATTTTCACTCACAAGTTTATCATTTTCAGTCACAAGTTTGTCATTCTCAATGGAAAGTTTATTATTTTCATCCAAAAGTTTATCCACTCTGATTCCTAATGTTTTTCCCGTCTCCCTTTCAAAGGCCAATGATGACTTAAACACCTCAATCTCTGATTTCAAAGCTGTATGTTCCGCATCAGAGATCAGTTTGGGAGCAGGAGTTTCCTTAGCTTTTTGCCGAGCACAAGACAAACAATCTCCTAACACAGCATAAATCGCACCTTTACCCTTTCTTTGACCAATCTTTCGTGAAGCCTGACACAGCTCAATGCGCTCTACCACTTTCTCCTCATCTTTCCAAAACTTTTGGGAAAACTCTTTCCCTGCCTGGGAAGGGGCACATTTATATTTTTGCAGTAGTTTATCCATAGCAATCCTGCCGACTACGCCAATTTTACTGTCGCGTTAAAGGGGTGTAGCTGATTAACCGTCACGGGCCCGTTTGGATTCAGAGTACTGAACCAGTCGGACATTCACCAAAACTGGGGGTCCGTTCGGACAATCACCAAAAACGTAATAACCGCCTGGGGGTCCACTCAGACATTCACCAAAAACGTATTAACCACCTGGGGGTCCGTTCAGACATTCACCAACAATGCATTAACCGTCTGGGGGTCTGGTTAGATTCAGAACACTGAATTATCACGGATAATCACCCTCACCCAAGTCGCATTAATGAAAGCTATCACAATGCAATCAAGTATGGTTTATTACAGCAACAGATAATCAGGTTCTTTTGGATTGCCGGCGATAGTGACTGTCTGCAAAAGCAAGCTAATATGCATGAAATACACAGGCGTTATAGGTGTTATAGATGTGACAGGTGTTATAGGTGTTGCAGATGTTATAGGTGTTATAGGTGTTACAGATGTTATAGATGTTATAGATGGTATAGATGTTACAGGTGTTATAGGTGTTATAGGTGTTTTGGGTGCACAGCCTAGAAATAAACGCGTTGAAAGGATCAAAGACTCTATATAGAGATTTATAAGCAAATATTCAGATCTCACCCAAAGGCGTCCCAATGGGGGGGGAAGAGAGGCTCAGCCCGTCGACTGATCCCAGGAGTCAGGAGGTCCTAAGGATGCTGTATGTCCTCGGGATGGTATCTCCCCTGACGGTGGTATCTTCCCTAACATCCCCTCTCTCTTGGGCCAATTTATATTATTTTCTATCTTTTAGGTGGAGCTTGAGTGGCTCTAGTCAAGCATATCTTAGTTATGATTGGTGTAAAGTTTTCCCGTCTCCGTTTAAAGTAATAGGCTCCGAGAAATTCAGAGCGCATGCTCAGTGAGGGGTGGTCGCACCTTGGAGGCGGGTAGCTTTTGGGATGGAGGTGTGTTTTGGTATTATAATGATATTATAATGAGCAAAAAGTACACTAGGGTACAGCATTTGTCAAAACATGACAGGTCTTTGGCTTAGGGTGGCAAAAAGTGCAGCTTTGTGCACAAGAACAATCAAGGCCCCACCTGATTACAGAGCCTAGCCGTGGTGTCTCCACTCCACTCTACGCTCCGTGGTGTTCCTTAGAGCTAGCACACCAAGTTTCCCCAGCGCGATAGCATCTAAGGTTGGGAGCCTAGGGAATGCTCAGATAATGCAGTTATGCCCTACCCTGAAAGCCTCTTCAATGCTGTACCTTTTCCCTAAAAGTGTGAATGTTAGTTTTATTTTCCTAGTTACTTCAGGCATTTACACCACAAGGCAGAAACCCCTTTGCACTGATTTGAGCTCTGTAAAACTGGAGATTTCAGCATATTTAGCGTTAAGATGAGGATGATGTCTTGTTCCAGGGCAGATGCGGCAGGGGGTTAGGAGCCACTGCTGGGTTCCTTTTTCCTTATCACATGTAGTGTCTACCACTCAGCACAATTAAAGATTTGAGTTTTAAAACCAAAAAATAGCTTGGTGGTCTAAAGCTGCCCTCTGCTCCCTCCCTTTCTTGGTCTCAGGTCGCTGCCACCAGGAACTGTTCCGTACGTGGGTTTCTCCCCTTCTTTTTAATGCATCCCTCTGCTGCTCTGATAGGATGATTGAAATTCCTCACCCCTCTCTCAGCTACCAGGAGCCCCCGGAGAATGGAGTGAGTAAATATTGATCGGTGACAGAGAGCCATAAATGTCAGTTCACAGGTCCCCGTTAGATACAGGAGGGGGTTGGTTCCTTTTCCGTGGAACAAGGTAGCAGTGTGAGCTGCATGCCAACTACCCTGAAAGGGAACCTCTCCTTGCAGGGGCTGGCTGTGCTTTCTTCTGAACAGGCAGGAGCACAACTCCACTGAGCAAATCAGTTACAGGAAGCTCAGGTTTGGGAAGTACAACCCTGCTCCTGCCTCTGCTCGAGCATCGCTCGCCCCCTCTGCCTCCCGTCCCCCAGAGCGGGGCACTTGCTGCCTTGCATGGGGGTGATCGGATGTGCCATCTTCCAGAGCAGGAAACCTCGTCCCTGCCCTGATGTCTCCTGGCCCTCTTGCTGCTGGTTCCTGTAGTGATTTCTAATCCTTGTGGCTCAGTTTGCACCTGAGACTTTCACCAGAAAGCCCTGCACATGCACAGGATTAGTTACGAGTTCTCTGTCACTAGCTTTATTATGAAATTGCTGCCTTGGAAGGTGTCTCAAGCAGGAAAAAAAACCACCGACGTGCCCTGTAACTTCACCTGGTGTATGTACCCCCTCCCAACATCGCTGTAATCGCCACCCCCACCCCACTCCCTCACCACCCGAGTGAATTGTCTGCGCAGGGCATCACAATATCCCCGGGAATGCCTTTTCCCAGCTGCGTGCTGAGGTTTTCCAGGCACTGTGTGTGCCACAGAAGGGGCAGGAGGGAGCTGGGAGGTGTCACCGCACCCCAACAGCAAGCAGTGAGGGTAGAGCTGGCTGGCCGTGAACCTGGCTGGGTTTCCAGCCCTTCACCCCTTCTGCTTCCTCCCGTAACCATTTGAGACCGTAAAGAACTTCGAGGATGGAAGCGAGCCTTGCAGAATGTCTCTTTATTAACTAGCTTGCAAAAAGACCCCAGGACCAAGGCTCGGGTGTGCTGTGGTCTCTGCATTTCCGCACGATCGCGGGGGACCGAGGCATTTTGCTGCGCCCTCCCCAGGCTGTAACACGCGGTCTGGCTCCCTCAGCCCCAGGTCCCGGTGCCTCCGTGCCCCCTTTTTGTGTCTGAGCAGCGCCTGGGAGCAGTCACAGCACCACTGAGCTACGCAGGGGTGCAGGTGAGGGCAGGGTGAGCAGCCCTGCGGGCACTGCTCGCTGCCAGCCCCAGGCTGCGCAACGCAGTAATTAGCGCCAAGGAGGGGAGGCAGACTTCAGGGCTGCGCTGTCCTTGGCTCAGCTTTGGACACGCTGGAGCTGAAGTAGCCTCCAGGCTGTCAGATGGGGCCTGGAGGGCTGTGTCCTGGTGGTGATTCAAGGCTGCGCATGCACAGGCATCACTTACACCACTCATCTGCGCGTGGAAGGAGAGGAGGTTTCAAACCAGCTCGTTTTTAGGCCAGGTAGGTCCAAGAAGGAACAGGAGCCCACAGGCCCTTTGTGCGCTGGCTGCGAGGCAGAGGGAATCGTGTTGGTTCAGCTGCTGACCCCTGCCCCAGCTCCACACACGAGCACAAAGGGAGCCCAGAGCACGAGGACCAGTCCAGCTGGGAGACGCGCCGCTAACTTCACAGCATCGTCTCCAGCTCTTTGTTCAGGCTGGGGTGACTCCGATCCACGTCTAAGTCCCCGGTGGTTTCCCCGCAGGCTTTCTGGCTCATCTCCTGGGTCGGACAGGGCAAAAAGTCCGAGGGCAAGGAGCCAGGGATGGAGCCTGGCAGGCTGGTACGGGCTGGGAGCAGCAGCCCACGCTGCTGTGTGCTCCCCACTGCTCGCCCCGCGAGGCTCATGCTGAAGCTGGTGGTGGCGTGGGAGGCCAGCCCGCCGTAGTAGCAGCTCCCCCCGGCGCTGGTGGCACGTGCCTTCTGCTTGAAGTCCAGCGCCAGGCTTCTCCGAAAATGGGCTTTCTTAATCTCTGCCTGCACCTAAGGGAGGGATCAGAGACAGCTGCTGGTGCTCAGAGACAGCAAAACTCCCTTCCCTTCTCCTTCCATTCCCCTTCCCTTCTCCTTCCCTTCCCCTTCCCTTCCCACAGTGATGAATCAGTTTCCCTCCAGTTATCCCAAGCTGGGGGCTGTGGCTTAAAGTCACTGACCCTAAAGGGGCTTGACCCAGAGCTCAGCTGCTCACATTTCTCACTCACCTCCCCGTTGCAAAAGCAGTAGATGAAAGCCACAAAGAAACCCTGCCAAAAGAGACGGAGGTGGGCTTTGAGTCCTGAGCCGGGATGGGCATCGCTCGGAGCAGGGCAGGCAGCCCCAGGGCAACGCACCTGAGAGGAGTTGAAGAGCATCTCGTAATGCATCTGGATCTGCCACAGCACCCCGGAGACGTCGGTGTAGGGCATGGCCATGAACACCACGTAGTGGACTCCGAAAAGCGGCATCAGCACCAGCGTGGACTTGAGCAGCTTCCTGAGAGGAGAAACACGGGGCGGGGAGCTGGGACCTGCCAGCCAGCCCCGAGTGCCCCAGCGAAGGGCAGGTGCTGGAGCTGCTGCTGCAGAAGCTCCGGCTTCAGCCCCCGGGGCTGGGGCATGGTCTTGCTGCTGCCAGCACTCACCTGTACTGCTGCCGGGGGTCCAGCTTCCCCGTGTTGGTCTCCCAGAGCTTGGAGGCCAGCACCCGGACAATGTTGAGGAAGAGGAAGAAGTTCACCTGCCAACAGATGCCCACCGTGGGTTTGTCACCTGCAGGAACCCGGCCCAGCAACCGCAAGCAAGCAGCCCTGGGTGGCTCCCAGGCCCTTTTCCCTGGAAAGGGTGGGGAAGTGGAGCTGTGGGGTTCTCACCACGACAGCAGCCAAGATGGGGACCTGATAAATCCACTTCATGTTCCCCGCGCTGAGGTCCCAGCACCTGAAGAGAGCGGTGAAGAACCTTTGGAGATGCCTGCAGTCACTGGTGAGGAGAACTGCTGGCTGATGGTCCCTGTCCCCCCCAGCCACCGTCCCCATCTCCCGTCCTCCCACCCTTCACCTCTTTGCCACCTCCGAGTGAGCCTGGCTGGGAGAAATCCGGAGTTTGGGTAAATCCTGACCCAGCAGCAGCCCTGTTACAACCGCCTCCAGACATCTTTCTGTGGCAAACCAGTTTTAAATTAACTTGAACCCTCCTGAGAGCTCCTTGTCTAAACCTCCTGCTCTAAGTCCTGTGGTCTTTCTTTTTTTAAAATCTTAACTTTAGGACATACCCTTTAGCATTCACCTTGGCACCATTTATTGATCAATTTTTGATGTAAAGCTGCATCCAGCTTCCTTCCACGTGCAGAACAAAGATATTACTGGTCTAGATAACCAACAATTTTATGAGCAAGCCTTGTATACGTGTTGACTCCTCTTGTTCTTTTCAGATTTTTTGCATTTCCAGAAGCCCTGGTGCCCACAGATTTTTTGCTAGCATTTGCAACCAACCTATCCCTCCCCAGAGAACTGCAGGAGGAGCTACGTACTGCGTATCCGCCAGGGAGGCCCTGACGCTGGCCCAGACAGACACAAAGACAGCAGGGAGACCTGGAGGGACAGGAACCGGGGTGAGGAGCACAGCTGAGACACCAGGTTTGCAGCCAGAATCGGTTCCCAGCTACGTCCCACTGCCCTCATCTTGGCACTTGGTGCTGCTCAGCACCCCAGCTCCCCGCGGGGTTGGGTTGGGGTCCAAGCTTACCCCAGCCGATGATGATGAGGACCCACAGGTAGCTCTTGTTGGAGAGGAAGGCCATGAAGATCAGGCTGTGCAGGTAGAGACCTTCCACCAGGATCCAGTAGTGGTTGGTGGCCAGAAAATAGAGGAAGAGCGTCACCACCACCTTGCAGCCAACCTGTGGGTGGAGAGGTGCCCACATCAGACCCTCCCCTGAAAGCTGCAGGCCACCAGAGCTGCATCTCCTTGAGGTTTTTCCTTCCCCTCCCTGGTAGCATCACCCTGAGTGTCTCAGCCCTACATCTCCTTGCACCAGGGCTCCTAAATCCCCCTTCCCTCTGCTCCTGCCCCTGGTCTCCGTGCAGCACTTGCCAGGTGGCCCCGTTGGCCCGGCGAGGAGCCCATTTCTGCCTTGAAGTCGTCCTCCCGCAGCTTCTCCGTCTCGCTGGCCGAGTAGAGCACCATGTCCTTCACGAAGATGCTCACCGCCCGGCAGATGAAGGAGGTGAAGAGGTGCACGTGGATGTAGTTGCGCGTGCAGTGCAGGCGCCTACGGAGAGGGGTGCGACACCAGCCTGGCCCTGGCTGCCCAAAAAGCTCAGTGCATGGGGGCTGCCAGGCAAGGGGCGACCTGGAGAAAGTCAGTCCCAAAGTGCCAGCCCCCTGTGGGCACAGAGGGCAGCTCTGGGGGTGAGTGGGTTTTCCCCCCCCCTCCAGGAGCGAGGAGCTGGTTGTACTGGTCACCAGTACGTGTTGGGAGGCTCTGGGAAACGCCCTGAGGTTTGTGCTGGGGTTGGGGTGGTGCCGGTGCCCCCCGGGGCTGCGTGCAGGAGATGGGGCCGTGGTTGTCCCCCCCGTGGGGATGGGGTTCAGCCCCTCCTTACTTGAAGTAGGAGAGGATGCAGACGGCCACGATGAGGGAGGCCAGGGAGATGGAGTAGCCGATGGTGTACATCAGGTGCAGGCGGTCAAACACCTCCTGGAAGAGAAGGGCTCTGCTCCACGCCTCCCCCACAGCCCAGGACCCTTTCAGCCTCCAGGCTGAGAGCACGGGAGGAGCGGAGCTTGTTCTGGGGAGCCCCCAGTCCCAACCATTCCCCTGCTCCCCAGCCCAGCCCCTTTCCCAACACCTCCGACGAGCAAGGTCACCTTCTCGCGGCTCCGGCTCTCGGAGGAGAAGAGCAGAGCGCATTCGGTGTAATTGGCCCAGGTCTTGTTGAGGCTGAGAGCCATCTCCCACGTCCCGTAGGCGCTGCAGTACCTGTAGGCATGACCTGGGAACGCGGCGGGTGCTGTGACAGCGGCAGAACCCGCAGGAGCCCCATCGGCACCCCCACTGGGTGCAGGCGGCTCCCCGAGGTGCGGCTGCGAGCGCTCACCTTTGTGGTTGAAGTCGTAGATGTAGTCGGGGCAGGGCACGGCCACCTCCTGGCTGGGGGAGCCCTCCGGCCAGCAGATAATCCCGTCCCACTCTGGAAGGCAGCTGGTATCTGGCCAGGGAGCAAAGGGACATCGCACCCCGTGTCCAAACAACGCCTCGTCCTGCCTCTGGCCTCCCTGGGCCCCCGATCAAGGCGAGGAATTGCACAACCATGCCATCACCCTGCAGAGCAGGGGCATCAATCCCATCCCCATCCCATCCCATATCCCCATCCCATCCCATCCCATCCCATCCCATCCCAGAGCTCGTTTGTGCTGCAAATAGGGCTGTCCAGTGCAGCCAGCTCTGGCTCATCAGTGCGAGGGTTTAATTAGCCCCTAATTGCACCCAGGAGCTGCACAACCCCATTCCAGGACCCTATGGTCCCCGGGAGCTTTGTGTACCCCTGGCCCTGTCCTGCTGCCATCGGAGGGGACAGCTTTCTCCGTGACATAGACCCGGGATTGCCCCCCGATGCGCAGGGTCAGGACGCTACCTTTGATCTTCTCCAGCTGGGCTTTTATGTCCCTCTGGCATTTCTCCTTGGCTTCCACCAGGAGGTAAATCTGCTCTTCTTTCGTGAGCACGTCGTCGGGGTCCACCTGCCCAGACAAAAGCCAGGTGAGGACCCCCCCCCCCATCACAGGGGGGCTTTGGCCACCGGTCTCTGATGTCAGCTCGGTTCGGGTCTGCTCCGTGCGCTCTTTGCACCCTCCTGCATGGAGCAGGAGCATCCTCGGGTAAGAAATGAGCCAAAGCTGGAGCAAGAGACAAGCGGAGAGGCTCAGAGTGTATCTGGAGGAGGTGGGCAGAGACAACGGGGCAGCCAGGCTGGAAACGAAGGCGCCGCAGCCTCGCAGCACCGCGCTGTGCCCGGTGAGCTGGGTGTAGGGTGGCTGGGGGTAGAGTTAAGTGATATGGGAAGAGAGAGAGATAAGGGAAGCAATTCGGAGCTGGGATAGGCAAACCAGCAGCTGTGGAAAGGAAAAGGAGCCAGGATGCTGGGTGCTCACACAGTGGGGCTGGGGAGGCACGGATCAGCAAGGGGGGGTGCTTTGGGAGAGGCGCTGCCGTGGGTGCCCCCAGCTCTGTCCTTACTGCCAGCCCCGCAGCCAGAACTCATCTGGGTCCCTCCAGCACCTTGCGAGCCCTGCCCCGGGCACGTGCAAGAAATGGAAAAAATAAATAATAAAATAAAATAAAATAAAATAAAATAAAATAAAATAAAATAAAATAAAATAAAATAAAATAAAATAAAATAAAATAAAATAGACTTACCAGAGCCCAGGCAGAGCTCAGGAGGCAGCAGCAGAGCAGGGCCACCACAACGCCTCCCCCGGAGCCCGATGCCACCATGGTCCCGCCGGGATCCTCAGGGACGGAGGGATGCAGAGAGCAAAGCCTTCTCCTGGGCGCAGCCGTCCGGGCACCGGGAATCTCCGCCAGCCCACGGGCTACAGAGCGAGCCGCTGCGTTTGGCGAGGCCGAGCATCTTCTGCGAGCGCCTTCCCGGCCACGGTCCCCATCGAGGCGAGGTGGCAGCAGGGGCACACAGTGTCCCTGGGGGCTCAGGGCGAGCCCCAGTCCTGGCAGGGCTATGGGATGATCACAGGCTTGCCACACGTGAGGGTCTCCCCCCGCCTCGCGTGCTCCTCTTCGCTCCCCGTGTCTGCTTTAAGCAGCTCCCGGAGCGAGAGCAAACAATTCCCGTGGGGATGGGGACGGCACAGCTTTAGTTGGCTTAGCCCTAGGTGCTAAAATCCTCCTCAGTCAAGGCAGATTCCTCCTCTCAGAACTCCTCTCGCTGCCCGGTGGCTTCATTTGTCAGCTGTCACGGCATCCCCCTGCCGCCCCCAGCTGCAGACTGGTCCCGAGGAGCCGTCAGACTGGGAGAAATCCCAGTAAGAGTGGCTGGAGGTGGGCAGGCAGAGGGTGCCACACGTGAGCATCCTCACTGCTTCGCTGCTGGAGCTGGGATGTCTGAGGCAGACACCAGTTTAACCCTTTTCCTTCTCCTGGTGCTGGGGCGTACGCTGGGGAGGTGCAGTGGGGTCAGCCCCAGCGCCCCAAAGGACACGCACCCACAGGTGCTTGTGCAGGACCTCGCTGTGGGGACCATGCCCAGAGGGGTTGTGGGGTGGAGGAGCTGCAGCTTCCTCATCACCTGCACCCCCCAGGGTGGCCCCTGTGTTTTGGGATCGTGCATACACCCGGCTTGTTCCCACCACCCCACTGCTTTGGGCACCTCGTGTCCCCCCAGCATCCCGAGCATCCTCCTGGGGAAATGGGGGCACAAAGCAGGGCGTCCTCCCTCCCTGAGCAGGTTGCCCGCAGTGGGATGAGGCTGAAATTCAAAACCCCCACTGCAAAACCCTGGGAATTTCAAGATCCCAGCCCGGGTGCTGCACCCGTGCAATCCGTGGCTGGGTGCAGCTTTCGCTGCCTCCGTAAATGGCAAAATCCCGCACGGGGCAGAGCCCCCTGGGGCCTCCCTTTGGGTTTTCCAGGCAGGGGGGGCTTGCTCTGGTCCTAACTGGGAGCCTCCCCGCTGCAGGGAGGAGGTCAGGCCCCGCCGGCTCCTGCAGCGAGCAGAAACAGAGCCGAGAGTTGTGAGAGTAAAGCAAATCCTGGAGAGAGTGCCCAGGAGGTGCTGCTGGCTTGGATTAAATCAGAGAGGAGAGCAAGCCTCTGGGTTGCTTCCCCTGCCTCGTCGAGCTGTCAATGAGGAATTGGGGCAGGTTTGGCAGCTGCCCATCACCCCGGCCCTATTTAGCCCCCAGCCTGAGCACTGCGTGGGTGCTGACCCCAGCCTGGGCTCAATCAGGACGTCGCCTGGACTTTTAGGGCAAGAAAAGGGCTAAGCAGTTAAATTGCAGGATCGATATTTTCTGGAGGCTCTTCTGGGTGCCGATTTCTGGATGAGAAGCTCCCAAGGGGTGCAGATGGGGTTCGGGTGGGGTTATTTGGGTGCTGCCTGAAGGGGAGGCAGCAAAGCTCCGGGGCGATTTGATTCCCCCCCCGCCCCAGGCGAAACCTGACCCAGACTCCGAGTTTGCAGCGAGCAAAACATGTTGTTTTCTGCTAAATTGCCTGCTCTATTATGCAGAGATGGGGAAAGCAATCACGGCAAATGACACCCACCCAGCCCCAGCACGCAGCCCCGCCAGACCCCAGCTCCGTTCCAGCAGCCGTGAGACGAGGGCAGACAGCAAATTGCCCAGCAGTTTTCAGCTGCTCCCTCCTGCCAAAAGACCCCCGTGACCCGGCTGGCGGCAGCTCAGCATTGAGCAGCATTTTGGCAAAAAAGAGGCCAAAGTGAGGGCTGTGGGTGCAGGGGGAGGACACCCTCCCCTCCTCTTTTCAGAAGATGGAAAATTACCCTAGGAATTAAAGCGGCTTGGAAAGCTGCCATGCTCAGAATTTAATTTATAGGGTAATTTTCTGCCTTATGGGACAAAGGGGGTTCAGTATTTACAGCCGGAGACCTCCCTGCTCATGTGTGCATCTTCCCTGAGCCCTTCAGTTTCCGCAGGGAGATGGCACAAAGCGGAGGAGCTGCCCGGCTCCGGCACAGCCTGGCAGTGAGACAGATCCTCGATCCTGGAAAATACCAACAAGAGCCCACACAAATCTGCCTTCTGCATACCCACATACACACACAACTCATGGGGTTTGTGTGTCAGTGCCACGGCTCGCACCCTGCACACATCCCTCAGGACCCATCCCGCAGGATCCTGTTCCACCCAGCGGCTCGCAGCCGTCCCTGCAGCCCAGCCCAGGCGGGTGCAGGAGCCACGAGGCCGTGCAGCATCTCCCGAGCATCTCTTGTAAATGGCTTTTCCCCGTTTCTGTTACCCAAACACCAGGGCTCAGTGGGCTCTTGGTGCAACCCCCGCTCTGCTGCAGCCTGGCTGTGTTTAAGGTGATGGTTTAGGATCTTTTGGTTTGCCCCTCCAGCACCGTTTTCCAAGATGCTGAACCTCGATGGTTTCTTCTGGCTTTTTTTTGCAGGAATTTCCCAGCTGCCAGAATTATCCCTCACTGTGGGGGGTGGAATTTTTTATTTTTATTCTGCTCCAAAAAAAAACAAGGCCACTTTTGGAAACCTCCCCTGTCCAGGTAGTGCCCAAAGCAGCACATCCAGCACCACGGGATGTGATAGGGATGTGCAGGAGGAGTGCAGGTAGGAAGATCCCAAGCTGATGAATTAAGGCTCACACTGTTTGCATCGCCCTCGTTAGCCACCCCGCTGCAGGCGAGCATGTCCTCTACCCACAGCATGGCCACGCAGCCCCTCCAGCACCTTCTCCACGTTGCTTTTTCCTCGCCAGGCACCCAGGGCCATCAGTATTTAGGTTTCTGGAGCTGTTTTAGCGAGCGGCCCCCGTGCAGCCCACCCGGCGCAGGTGCTGGGGGGGACATCCCCCCTCTCGCGGCTGGTGGCTTCGCCGCGCGGGAGCCGATGACAATGGGCAATTGTCGAGTTGGGGCCCCTCTCGTTTGAGTTTTCTTCCTTTTATAGTAAGTAGCAGTTGCTCCAGCAGCTGGCCTGCCCCTGCGGGGTGAGGACAGGGCTGGGTTTATAAGGGAAGGAGCAGCCCCTGCCTCTCAGCCCTCCGCTCCGTCGCTTCGCCGGCCCGGAGGATTCAGCCTTGAACTTCTGCAAAGCTCCCAGCGAGATGCCGCTCAAAAAACCTGACCCCAAAAAGGATGCAGCCAAAGCGGCTGCAGCCCCGGAGGTGCCCAGGGAGCTCGCCTTCGATCCCAGGAGTGTGAAGGTGAGCGAGGGATGAAGGCATCGCGTGCCTCCATCCTGCTGTCGCCCGCCCTGCGCGGGCGATGCGAGGCAGCACGCGACTTGGCATCAGCCCTGCCATCTAGGAGCAGGGGTTGGGAGGGGAAAACGATCCCGCTGCGTTGATGCAGAGAGCTGGCAGCGATGCTCTCCTTGCTGTGGGGGGGTTTAATCCTCCCCCATCCAGCCCCGCGTGCTGCAGAGCCGAGGAAATCGCGCTGGCTCGGGCTGCGGAGCCAAACGCCCCGCGGCAGCTCCGGGGCCCCCGCAGCTCTAAAAGCATTTCTGCCACCTGCTGCCTGCATCCCAAAGCACTTTGCCCCCTCGTCGCCTCCTCCGTGCGATGGCACCTTTTATCCAAGTCCCCGCAACGGGAGCTCATTTTTGCCGCGATTCCCCAGGTTACGGTTACATTTCTGAGCCCCAGCTGCGGCGGGGGGGTTGTTAAGAGCAGGCTCAGCACAGAGGCTGCTTAATCACTTGAACTCGGGGTCAAGCCTCCAAATGACATCCGTCCTACCCTGCCGTGGTCTGAGCCTCCTCCCTGTGCCCGCTGCACCGCTGCTGGCTGTGCTTTCCATGGGGATTTTGGTTCTGTGATGAAGGAGGGAGCATTCCTGGGCATGGCACGGGCACGGCACGGGTATGGGCACGGCACGGGCATGGCACGGGCATGGCACGGGCATGGCCACTGCCCTGAGCAGGCTGCAGAGCTCGGGGAGATGCCCAAAGGCAGGGCTGAGCCCCTTCACTGCCCCCAGCACCATCCTCATGCCCTGCTTGTTCTCTTCTCCCGGCAGATCGAATTCACGGCCGAGCAGATCGAAGGTAAGAGCGGGCACCACCTCGCCCTCAGATGGCATTAGACACGGGGAGCTCCTCCTCCAGATTTTTCGGCAGCAGGAGATGGGAAAGGAGGCAGGAGAGGAGGTGACCAGGAACCGGCGCAGGGATGTGGCTGGGGTGGAGACAGCAGGGAGCAGGGAGCAGCCCCGGGCTCCTTGCTCAGCACTGAGGGTGCCCCAGATGAAGGGGATAATCCCAGCTTCACAGCCCGGCAAGGAAAAAGGTGCAGGGCAGGGAGGGATGAGATTTGAGGGCACGTCCTGCTGGGATCACTGGGAGGAGCAGATGAGTGCTGTGCAGGCTCAGACCCCAGGCTGGGTTTTGTAAAGAGAAAAGAGAAAAATTTGGAAGATATTTGGATTTAAGCTGCAGCCTTGTCCCCAAGCGTGTGATGTGCTCGGGGTTATCAGGCCTTGGTGTTGGGGCAAGAGGGGACATCACCGAGCATCCTCTTGGCCCAGGGGCTTGCAGGTGGTGTTGGCCCTCCCTGGGTCCCCCCAGATGCCACCCGCAGAGGCAGAGCCATTGTGAGGTCAAATGGGCAAACAGCAGCACCCCGAGGTGCTGGGCAGCCCTGCGGGGACACAGATCCATGCCATGGACACCTCCAGGGGACGGTGAAGTTCAGCAGAAGATACAAAGATGCCAAGCAGCAAACTCAAAGCCCCAGGCAAGGATTCCCACCAAACCCAAAGCAATATATCCCAAAACATCA